GGAGACTCGCTTGAGCCCAGGAGTTGGAGGTTGCTGTGAGCGTGAGGCCATGGCACTCTACCCAGGGGGATAGCTTGAGGCTCCGTCTCAAAAAAAAAAAAAACAAAAAAACCCAAGGCTCTGAGATGTTAAGGAACTTGCTTGAGACACACAACTCAGGAGTGGTGCAGCTCAGACTCTAACACAGGCCAGACTGACCAGCCAGCCAATCCCTGGTTTGCTTCAACTATCCTAAGAGCCCTTATCACGAGAGAGATTTATCTGTGTGGCCCTCCTGGTGGCACAGGTCCTAACTCCCCAGACCTCTCTGTTTCTCACCAAAGCCCCACCTGGATATGGTGGCGAGACAAGCGTAAAATCTCCTGTGCCATCATCAAGGTCTTTGAGTCCATCACCAGGTAGAGCAGATGCAGGAGGGCAAGGAAGCCTGCTCCTCTCAGGTCTGTGGCTGGATTTGCTCCTGTAACAGAAAGGAAACAGGGTGTGACAGTGAGCCATGCTTAAGAAAATCCCTGCTCCCCCTGAGCTTCAAGTGCTCAATGTGGGCAGCCACCCTGACACTGGCCCTTCCCCAGAGCCAGAGGAGCATGACAAGTGCAGGTCTGCTTCCTGCCACACTGCTGGGAGTGGCTCTAACGTGCTGACCAGAGGCTATGAGACCAAACAGGTGGGGACTCTGGGGCCAGGGGGCAGGGCTTTCCCTCCAGGTTTCTTAAAACCTGCAGGTTTTTGTTGCTGTGACCCTTGATAGTCATTTCTGCACACAACAACCAGAGTGATCTTTCACCAAAAAAGGCTGCACTTCTGGTTCTGGGACAAGATGAAGTAATGTACCTCTCCCCATTTCTCCCACTATTCACAGCTAAAAGCTCTGAACAGTATTATATAAAACACATATAAGAGAACTCTGGGCTCAGTGCCCGTAGCCCAGTGGTTACAGCGCTAGCCACATATACCAAGGGTGGAGGGTCTAAATCTGGTCTGGGCCTGCTAAACAACAATGACAACTGCAACAAAAAATAGCCAGGTGTTACAGCAGGCACCTGTAGTCCCAGCTATTCGGGAGGTTGAGGCAAGAGAATTGCTTAAGTCCAAGAGTTGGAGGGTTGCTCTGAGCTGTGATGCAAAGGCACTCTACTGAGGGTAACACAGTGAGACTCTGTCTCAAAAAAAGAACTCTGGGCTGGGTGCAGTGGCTCATGCCTATAATGCTAGCACTCTGGGAAGCCAAGGTGGGTGGATTGCCTAAGTTCAGGAATTTGAGACCAGAATGAGCAAGGGCAAAACCCTGTCTGTACTAAAAGTAGAAAGACTGGCCAGGGGGGTGGAGGGTCACAGTGTATAACACACCTTTTGGGGCAGGACACAATTATAAGAGGGACTTTACCTAATAAATGCACTGTAACCTGGTTCTTTGTACCCTCGATGAATCCCCAACAATTAAAAAAAGAAAAATTGGCCAGGTGCTATAGTGGTTGTCTGTAATCCCAGCTACTCAGGAGGCTAAGGCAAGAGGATTGCTTGAGTCCAGGAGTTTGCTGTGAACTATGATGATACCACGGCACTCTACCCAGGGTAACAGAGTGAGAGTCTATCTGCCTCAAAAACTTTTTTTATTTTTATTTTTTTGCAGTTTTTGGCCAGCACTGGGTTTGAACCCGCCACCTCCAGCATATGGGGCTGGCGCCCTACTCCTTTGAGCCACAGGTGCCACCCTCTCTCGAAAACTGTTTTTTTAAAAAAAGAAGACTTGGCTCAGCGCCTGTGGCTCAA